GGGGGGGGGGGAGAATGATGTATTTGTGCCTGTCGTCCCTTTTATTCTGTTGACCTTGATATCTTGAGTAGGAATAATAAAAAAGTGACAAGTTTACGTTCTTCCCATGGTGTGGGATGAAACTGCATGGAAGACAGCCTTGCATTCAAGCCTCCATTATTCATTTTCTCTGTCCTTTCCCGCCCTAGTCTGATCGCCAACTACTCGCAGCCGGAAAAGGAGCAGAACATTTTTTTCCATGAAATTTCGAGAAGCGCCGCGGGCCAGATCGGGCCCGAGGGCCATAGGTCGAGCACCCTTGTTGTAGATGGACCCTCAAGCCTCAAGGGGGCGTCTTTCGCAGTGGAAGGGGGCGGGGGAGGCTCCTCCCACTTCAGCTTTCATGGTCCTGACCAGGCAGATCCCTCTTGAGCCAGCGTTCGTGAAGGTCTCCAGAACCCACCCCACGCATCTCAAATCATTGTTAAGTTCCAGCTTTCTTTGTTCAACTTGTTGTCTCGTTTGTCTCTTCGGCTCCAGACATAACCATTTTCCTCTTTTCTCTCCATCCCACATTCATATCTCAATATCTATTCTTTACTGATTCCATTCATATTGCCCCCATTCCCATTCCTTCACAGGTTTCTTCCCTTTTAGAGTAATTTCAGCTTTTCAAGTTTCCTTGACGCGAATATCCTCACTAACTTGCTTTCTATTTCCATTTCAAGAGTAACCATATTGCAGATTCATTCGAGTAATGGCAGAAAGGTCTCCGACATCTCGTCCCAAGGACTCCTCCATGGACCATCCTACTTCATCCGCGAGTAAGTTTGTCTATTTGAGAATGAACATGTAAATGCATCTATATAGAAGCGTGTGCTTGTGCCAGAATAGTTACGCATATAATTATGAATGACTCGCATTAAAATTAAATGACAATGTGCCTCATGAAAAACTGAAAATAAGTGGCCTTAATTTCATAATCTTGCAGTCATGCTCCCTCTTCCCTGTGTTTGCATAATGATGTGATGCCTTATTTTTCTGCGCAGAGTGTGCGGTTTTTAATTTCACCAAGAAGTGGATACACTTCACAT